GTGGAGAAAATGGAGATGGATTGGGGAGACACTGTGGAAACTGTTGAATGATATCACGCTCAATGCAGATCATCTTTTGAGTGGAAGGTGAATGGGAAACAACGAGTTGGGTGTGTGTTCGACAGTGAAATGGAGGAGATCGTATGAGTATGAGATGAAAGCTTATGTGGAATCGTGGGGCCAACTGAAGAGGACTGCAGAGAATTGGACAAAATGGGGATGTTCTGTAGACAGATAGAAGGACTCACTCATTATCTCAAATAGTTCACTTCTTGTCAATAACTCTATGTTTGTCTGTTTAATTGGTTTACGCACCTAATAAAGAATTCTGATTACTTCATGGCCATGTAAATATACTCTTCATTTATGAATTGTGGAAGGCATAAGAGTATGTAATAAATAATTGTATATAAAGGGCGTCGGTGACACAGCGGTAGAATGGTCACCAACCACTCAGGTGGTTCGGAGTTCGATCCCCGACCGCCGATGCACTCCCTTACCTCGCTAAGCCAGTAACAAGGCTCGTAAAGAGGGAGGGTTGGGCATTAGGTTAGCAACCTCATCCCGTAAAAATAAACACCAATACTACTGAAACTTTAAATCTCTAACTTGGAGCCCTATGTTCCACTGGGAACGTAAAGGAATAAAAAGCATTGTCTATACAGTGATAAGATACCTTCTTTCAATACTGCATTCTCATTGCATTTCTTTTCTGTAATTTTCTGTATGGTGTTAAGTCACTATAAGTTATTCAACTGTGTGATAATGTATCGAGGTGAAATAAGGTAATTTTACTACAAACAATAGTTATTGGACTGTGTAATTAATTATTGTATTACTGTTCCCTTGGGTTCCCTTGAGTGAAACATAGGGTTTCAACAGTACACCTTCACTTTATCCTGTTCTCTGCTGTCCTGTCTAGCTGTCCCCACGATTCCCCATAGTCTCTCATCTCCTCTTCACATAATCCTCTCCATATCACCTTCCAACGCCACACTTGTCATTTCCCATTCGGATTCCACTCGACAGATGGCCTGGTGCACGAAATCATTCGACTGTGTAAATGTGATGTAGAGATTTTCTGTGGAAGGATGGATCAAACAACTAAAGATCAATAAGGACTTAGTTGTGCGTAGAGGTGGCTCATGGATAGAATGCCCTCCAGCCATACTTCACATGATTCAGATCCGATTTCCTACCAACGCACCCTTAAACCTCACCTAGCAGGTACTTAGCCCTGAAAAGATGGTAGGTTGGTCAGGAGATTTGCTATTTTACTCCATAAAAAAAATAAGTGCTATTGAAAATTCATAAACTTAAAGCCTGAAGCTTTGTGTTCCACTCATCATGTGTGTTATTTGAAATCAGATTAGTTTGATGTTACTTTATTTTAGAAGTGAAAAATAAAGCATCGAATACAAATGATTTCTCCAGGCGTGTATTTTGGTTGTTATTTATTGATGGGTGTATTCTTGTATGATTAACTTTATTTCTTCCTCAGTAAAATACAGCCAGTGTCATCCGTGGTGAGTATCGGTCCTCACACCCGACCTGATGTACGCCACTGATCACGACTCCTCACTAGAACCGATGTCAGCTCATGATGAAATCCTTTAAGCAATAGAATCCCTGCAAACCAACACTTGAAAATCATTGTGATGCTCACTAGCGACTGGCCCTATTCAGGTAAGTAGTTACCTGGGTTCTGGTGAGAAGTCGTGATCATTGGGGTACAGAAGGTCGGGTGTGAGGACAAATACTCACTGATGTCATGAATTGGCAGAAGTTGGAATCCATGGGCTGGCCATTGGATCGCGTCCCTGTGGGGCCTAATGGTCTACGAGCTGGCCTTGTAACATAAAGGTCCTGGGTTCGAACCCTGTCGGCGGATGCGTACTTCTGAAGAGTCCCAAACTAGGACAAAACGGCTGTCCAGTACTCTCAAGAATTCCAATGGTTCTCTAACCAATATCAGCTCATGACGAAATCCAGAAACTTTTTTATTTCTACTTTTTCTGTCTCGCCTCTCCCTATAAAATCCTCTAACTAGCGGTGTTTATACCTAATGTTTATTACCATCATCAATTTTATTTAGCCTATTGTTATTATATGAACGGTGCAAAGTTATTTATTTATGTAACACGTTTAACAGTTCACATAAATGCTTATTTATTTTAAAACAATATTGGCGAAATGAATCTTTAAAAAGCGCCAAAATGAAGCAATGGAGGACAAACAACCTTGAACGCACCAATCACATGAGAAAGGCAACTTCCACGCATAAAATACAATTAATTTATAAAAACAATGAATTAGAAAGCATGCAACTGTAATTACATGGGATACTTTTCTCTATTGTGTGGCAAAATTGACTCCCTATTCCCCATAGTAGTATCAATACAGAAGTTAAACCGAATTCTATTAGCTATGTTCATCTAAATAGCTGTAAATAACATTCCTTTGACATCCGTTCCTGGCTGTAATCCTATCCCTGAATCTTTCTCAAAAAAATCCTTCAACAGAATTGATGTGTGGCGCATGGCATAGGATCCACAAATTCGTTTCAATGGTTGACACCATAGTGATTATATCCAAGGGATGATGGATCCTTTCAGTAAAGTGGTATCGTACAGCCAAACGTTATTTGTATTTCCTCTTTATCAGGACTGTTTCGTCTATATTTACAACAACACCTTCTCCTCTCCATCTTCCAAAATGTAATATAGCCGCAGTGGTGTTACCATTGAACATTCGAGACGAGACTATTCCCCCCGTTCCAGAAACTGTAGCTCTCACAGCATGTTTTAAAACGCCAGTAATTACAAATATACATGACAAAGGAAAATAAAAAAAAATCACAACAGGAAGGACACTGACAACAACAAAACCTGTAGCAGTAGTATCACTGTCAAAAACAGTTAACAAAAGTGATATCAAAACCATAGACTCCCCGACTTGGGTCAACTTGGGGATGTAAATCCAAAAATATAAAGTACAATTATGGATATTAATTAGTGTTCAACAGTCACGAAATGTCAGACAGATAGTTCTAGGTATTTTCAGTCAACAAGATTATATCCACAGATTCAATGTTCGAAGGTGGACTAATTATAATATTCAAGTATTGGTTTTGTGGGGATTTTGTTTGATTGCATGGAGGATTTCATCATGAGCTGACATCAGTTAGAGAACCACTGGAAAACCTGCAGGGAGTACTGGACAGCTGTCTCGTCCAACTAGTTTGGGACTCTTCAGTACGCACCCAACGGGATTCGAACCCAGGACCTTCTCGTTACAAGGCGAGCTCGTAGACCATTGAGCGTACTGCTGAAGAGTCCCAAACTAGGACGAAACAGCTGTCCAGTACTCCCTGCAGGTTTTCCAGTGGTTCTCTAACTGATGTCAGCTCATGATGAAATCATCCATGTAATTATAATATATTCCACAACTTCCTGGCCAGAAACACCAGAGAAATGAGAGATTTATGTAACTAGGTAAACGTAGCATATCGAAAAGCGCGTCCTTCATGACAAATATTCCGACGAAACAATGTAATCATCAGCTTACCATTTCCCCCATGCTAATTCATCTCACAAATAAACTTTACAACGGTGAACCTGTCCATCAACAGATCTACTGAAGCCTTTTTTGTATACTCATAGTACACTTCCACAGGAATAAATTCTTTCCTTTCCAATCAATCAATCTCATATCTAAACAAATACCGGAACACTTCGTCTACACCAAATTTTAGATGTAGGTCCACTACAGTAGGTAGTTTCTTGTAATCAAGCGGGATATCAAGCTTTGACGTCACACTTGAAGAATCTCATTGGTCCATTCTCAATGGTCATTGGTGCGGTCGTACTCCGTTGGTACATTTTAGTGCTTAAAGTTTAAACTTAGCCAAAGCATCTTTTCCATGCAATGGTGCTTTTTCTAAATTTTGAAAAAAAAATCTTTTCAACCTTGTCAGTATGCTCTACAACTAACTATCTTAAACAAATTGATTTACCTAATATATATTCACCTATATTATTTTTATACTTTCTTATAGAGGAGATGTGTTCTTGTTCACGTCTTCTGTCTTCTTCTCTTCGTGTGATTATATATAAATTTGCGAATTCTTTATCATAGTTATAATAATACCTTTTTACTATCTATCAATCTATTCTAATTGCACACTTTTTGCCTCAATGTAAAACGCAATATTGCTCTCTCTTTTTCTGATTTGATTTGCTTTGATTTGATTACGTGTAGATTGACTTATTGGTGTTATTTAAGATATCTAATGCCTCATTAATGCTATTTAACTGTGATATTATCAATGAATTTTCATTCTCCTTGCTATAAAACAAACGATATATAATTTGATTGGACACTGGTAACTAGTGTGACGTGTCTAGTCCTCCTCTAGTCTTTGGTGCAGACTGAATTCTATCAGTCAGGTTTGGTTTGCAATGTGGCCACCATTCTAGGTAGCTCACCATCATGGTGCACACATTGATTTGGTGATATTAGATAGTTGGAGGCAATCGGCCATAGGAAGCCTTGCTTGACCTAGGTTTCGTGCTAGTTGGCGCTTGTCAAAATACCCATGACAACCCTACAGGAGGTCAATTGCAAGCCCAAATAGCTCAGTGGCAACATCTCTCACTGACTTCAGGTGGCACTGGGTGACGCGGGTTGGAATCTCAGAAGGGACATGAGTTCCTTCAAGGTGGCAGATACGCCCTGGTGAGTGCCAACTAGCACGAAACCTAGGTCAAGCAAGGCTTCCTATGGCCGATTGCCTCCAACTATCTAATATCATCAAAGCGATATATATGCATACATATATGTATTATAAAGAAAGGCACTGTTATACCATATATAATATATATTAACATTATGCGGTTGCTTAAATTCACTTCAATTTTTTATAGTGTATATTTGACTGTATTTTTTTTCCAGATTTTGTACTTACATCGTTTCGACTGTTGTTTTTATGATTTTTGTAGAACGAATTCCTGATACTGTTGTTGAACAACCGTGTGAAGAAGATCAAGTTGATAGTTTGAAGACATCACCTGCTAATAAAGCGAAAAAGATCACGTAAGATTTTGTTGAATTCGTTAAATTAAAAAAAAAACAATATTCATTGAGAAAATTTTTTTCAACAACGAATTTATTATCAAGCTGTACAATCGTATATATGTATGATGTTTATTTAAAAAAAAGACGGAGGTTATGAAAATAACCAACCACCACCACCAACAACAACAGCAGCAACATCCACCGCCAATCACCATCAACGGGAGGGATTTGAAAGAGGTTACTTCATTCACTTATCTAGGGAGCATTGTCTCAAATACAGGAGGAACGGACGACGAGGATGTCAAATCGAGAATCGGGTAGGCGAGAAACACATTCATCAACCTGAAACCAATCTGGAAATCTTCGTCACTCAGCCTGCATCAACAACAAAATTCGGATTTTCAATACAAACGACGTCAAGTCAGTCAGTTCTTCTATACGGATCAGAAACTTGTCGGCGGGTCACAAAGAATATTTCCAACAGCCTGTTGCAGACCTTTATCAACAACAATTGTCTTCGCTCTATACTCAAGATCAGATGGCCGGAAAGAATCACCAACAAGAAACCATGGGAACAAACAAAGCAAGAACCAATCGCCCAACAAATATGCAGGAGAAAGTGGAGATGGATTGGACACTTGCTGAGGAGGCCGCTGGGTGACATCGCGCGTCAGGCCCTAGCTCGAGTGGAACCCGAAAGGGAAGCGGCGAGTGGTTAGTCGGTGGAAGGGTGACATGGAGGAGATCGTGTGAAGAGGAGCTGAAACAGTATGGACTAACATGGATGCAAGTGAAAAGTACAGCAGAAGACAGAAGCAAGTGGAGGCGTGCAGTTGAAGCCGTATGTTCCACTAGGAACTCAAGGGAACAATAATAATAATTTTACAAAAGTTATATCCTGTGAAGAAATTTAAACAAAGGTATGAATATTTAATTCAATTCGGACTTTCCTGTTGATTGATTGGACCGAAGTGTTCGGCCTCAGGTTGACATGTCGGCTTCTTGTGCGGTTGCTTCAGCGATGACTGAGAATTTAACTTGAAGGAATTTTGATAGATGGTGGCTAACAGTGGAATCCACTAGGATGCGGATTTCAGCTGTCCTCAGGCAGTGGATATATTTGCATTCCCCAGTGAGTGATGGCGTACCCACTGAGGCTCGAATACATGAAATGCAATTAAAATGGTTGTGATTATAATCATAGTTAAATATCAAGCGTCATGTGCAAACAGTAATCATATCATGTATAGAATAGTTCATAGGATGTATAGATGTTGGAAAGGGTTGCATAATTATGGGGATAATAGGCAAATACAAAACGTTACATAACATCGTGTGAAATTTGTTAAAATCGGATTTTTTTTCGATTTAGAATGACAAGTGAAATAATACCGGAAACTGTTCAAAGTGAGAATAGTAATAGTAACAATAATAACAGTAATAATAATCGTAGTAATAGTGGGAACGTACGTAGATTAACTAAATAAACAAAATAAATATAAAAAATATATAAATAAATATAATGTATATCCTTCTACGGCGAAGATAGAAATGGTGATTGAACACATCTTTTGTACACAAAGGTTTGGCTTAAATTTTTATGAATGGCAAAGACCTCCACTATCTTTAGAAGTTTAGAACAAAGAAAACACGGCCTGTTAGCATGAATTCGATAAATGATCTTAAAATTATGGTCAGAGTTGGTAGAGTGTGCAAGAGAGTTAGTCAAGTGTTTTAGAATGGAACTTTGCCCATCCTTCCTTTCTCCCTTGTTAAAACTATGCTGCTTGAATATGTTCTCGTATCCGTGTGGAAAGAAGCATTCTGGGCTATGGCCAATGTACATTGCTCTACAAGAACAGGGGAACTGATAGATATGCACATCTGTACACCCTATGACCTATCCTATCATATGCGATTATTTGTGTTACCACTTGACACTTGATATTTAACTATCATTATAGCCACAAATATTTTATTTGCATTTCATACTATTTTATTATTCTAAGTATTCACACCTTTTGTTTAAATTTCCTCACGGAATATAATTTATTAAAAAGCCATATATATATATATATATACATATATATACGATTGTACAGCTTGATAATAAGTTCGATGAAGCGAGTCTCTTTACTGAATAGTGTGTTTTTAATGTTACAATGAGAATGGATCGGGTCCGAGTGGCTTAATGGTCTACGAGGTCGCCTTGTAACCAGAAGGTCCTGGGTTCGAACCCCGGTGGTTGTGTACTGATGAAGAGTCCCAAACTAGTTGGACGAAACAGCTGTCCAGTACTCCCTGCAGGTTTTCCAATGGTTCTCTAACTGATGTCAACTCATGATGAAATCCTCCATGCAATCAAACAAAAATGTCTACAAAACCAATACTTGACAATGAGAATTATTTAATTAATTAGCTAAATTGACAATAGCTGAATTATAATCGTGTTGTAAAATTTTTATTTATAATTTGGAAATGACACATTTTCATTGATTGATTGATTGAGTTTCAACATCATAGAAGTTTGCACAGAAGTGCAGCAGTTCAAGCTGCCACACACACACACAAACACAGGTAGACGAAAGAAAGGGAAGAAATGAGATTCTAAAGAACTTCGAGGTTCAGAAATTCTACTGGAGAAAAAATGGTGGCATGGAAAAACATGACATCAGCGCTATTGAGAAAGGTTTTGAGCCGTGTCACCAACAGTCTGCAGTTAATTGGTTCTTAGAATCATAGGGACCCCGATGCGGCAGCCTCCCTACATGGTTTAGACCTAATAATCAACGACTTCATGGACTACTGCTTCCATGCCTGCTTTGCTTTGATCACCCCAGTAACTCTTTGCCAACCCAACCAAGCCCTATGTCAGCTAACACTGTTCGTTAAGGAAGGCTGTGGTTCAGCCTGCTTAACACGTCTTCTAACCATCTCAATCGATAATGATTTTGCTCTAAAATGAAAAAAAAATAGTTTCTCCTTTTTCTAGCATTATCCGATTGCTCTTTTTTTGTGGATTGACATTTAGCTTTGTTTTTCTTTTTAGAAATCCTTTTTTAAGTGTTTCTTGTGTCAAATTCATGAAAAAATATGTGTAGATTACTTTGTAGCAAAGTAATATATCATATTTATTTCTGTGTGCTAAGATTGTGACGACAAATCTCAGAGTAGTTGCTTTTTGTATATGTTTTGAATTACTGTTTAGAAAATAGTATATATATATATATAATTCATCTATGTCGAGAATAAAATAATGCCTCTAAATAAGACATGAAGCTTCAAAAGTTTCTGTTAATCGCTGTTTAAGAATGTGATATTATTTTGCATACTTTTATTCCATATAACACTCAGTTTTGCAACCTCTTTCTAAAGAGAAAAAAACAACTATACTGCTTAGATTGTTATTGCCGTTCAATAATAATAATAATAATAGTTCCCTTGGGTTCCTAGTGGAACATAGGGCTTCAACTGCACGTCTCCACTTGCTTCTGTCTTCTGCTGTACTTTTCACTTGCATCCATGTTAGTCCATACTGTTTCAGCTCCTCTTCACACGATCTCCTCCATGTCACCCTTCCACCGACTAACCACTCGCCGCTTCCCTTTCGGGTTCCAATCGAGCTATGGCCAGACGTGCGATGTCACCCAGCGACCTGCTCAACAAGTGTCCAATCAATCTCCACTTTCTCCTGCATATTTGTCGGGCGATTGGTTCTTGCTTTGTTTGTTCCCATAGTTTCTTGTTGGTGATTCTTTCCGGCCATCTGATCTTCAGTATAGAGCGAAGACAATTGTTGTTGATAAAGGTCTGCAACAGGCTGTTGGAAATATTCTTTGTGACCCGCCGACAAGTTTCTGATCCGTATAGAAGAACTGACTGACTTGACGTCGTTTGTATTGAAAATCCGAATTTTGTTGTTGATGCTGAGTGACAGCGGAAGATTTCCAGATTGGTTTCAGGTTGATGAATGTGTTTCTCGCCTACCCGATTCTCGATTTGACATCCTCGTCGTCCGTTCCTTTCCTCCTGTATTTGAGACAATGCTCCCTAGATAAGTGAATGAAGTAACCTCTTTCAAATCCCTCCCGTTGATGGTGATTGGCGGTGGATGTTGCTGCTGTTGTTGTTGTTGTTGGTGGTTGGTTAGTTTCATAAGCTCCGTCTTTTCTATGTTCACGTGGAGTCCTGTCTTTGCTGCTTCCTCGACCAGTTTGTCGGTTTTCGCGTGTAAGTCTTCGATTTTGTGTGACATGAAACATGAATCGTCCGCGAAATCCAGGTCTTCTAGATTGCTAGATCGCTAGTTTTCTAGCCGGTCCCAAGCCCCGATAAAGAGGGAGGGTTGGGGCGTGGTGCTAGCAACTCCACCCCCAAAACTTAACCAAATTGCTACAGAAACTTCAACGCATAAATATATTAAAAATAATAATAATAAATGTTTTAAGTTTGATCACGGATTGATATCGTTTAGAGAAGCCTTGGAAACAAGCACGGTGTATTGGACAGCTGTTTCGTCCCAGTTTGGGACTCATCACCAGCACGCACCCACAGTTCGCCATAGTTCGAACGCATTACCTTCCGGTTACAAGGCAAGCTCGTCAGTATGGTCTGCGAACAGAGGGGTCCATCTGGTTGGGAGTTAAGACGAATACTCACTCTCCGATGACACTGGTTTCTAATCGCTTTAAAATAACGAATTGGTAGAAGTTAGATTTTTGTGATGGGACATTGGGTTGCTGAATGGTCTACTAGCTTTCCTTGTAATCTGAAGATTCGGTTCGAACCCTGGCGGTGGGTTGGTACTGTCGATGAATCTCAAACTAGGAGGAAACAACTGTTCAGCACAAACTCTTGAAGATATATGTACGTTGACTAAATTACTGTTATTAGTGCTGGTTCCCTGCATTCCGAGAGAGGGAAAATTGGCTTTCAGCAGCATATTTCTCTGCTGTTATTTTCAGCCGGCTCCATTAGCTTTTTATTTCCTTCCCATTTGATCTTCTTCATGTCAGCTTTCGACTCGAAACTCTTCTCTTCCCATTCGAGTTCTATTTGACGTCCTGGCGGCGTGTGATGTCACTTGCTGATCTGTTCAGCGTATTTCCAACTCATTCTCACTTCCCTCTGAATATTTGTTGGCTGGTTAGTTGCCTGCTAAAGTTTTTTTATTGTTCTTCCTTTCCCGATGATGATCATATTGATCTATGATATTGAGGCGGTGAAGAAAGGGGTTTTGATGAAAGTTTGGAGTGTCCTGTTAGGAATGCTTTAAATGACGCGCGCGCGTCTCCTGACTTGAAACTAGTATTGAAAATTTATATCTTGTTCGGTTACAGGATTTCATCATGAGGTGACACCGGTTAGATAACCATTGGAAAACCTGGGATTACTAGATGGCTGTTTTCTCCTAGTTTGGGACTCTTCAGCGGTACGCAAACACCACCAGAGTTCGAATCCAGGACCTTTATGTTACAAGGCCAGCTCGTAGTTCATTAAGCCACTGGGACCCGATCCAATGGCTAGCCCATGAATCCCAACTTCTTGTTCGTTATGTTGAGTGAATGCTGTAGATCCTTCACATGGCTTCCAAAGTAGTGAATACCTGTCTTGTATTCCCCGTCCTGACTAGCTTTGATGTTCTCATCTGTGCCACCGCCTGTAGTTGAAAGGAGGTAAATGAAACAGACGACTTCCTTTAGATTCCTCCTCATGAAGGTGAGGGGGGGGATGATTGCTGTTTGTTGTTATTGTTGGACAAGTATTTTCATCATCTCTGTCTTGCGTATATCCACCTGAAAAGATTATCCATTTTTTTACCATAGGTGTCTTTGGTGAATGCCTCATGTTAGGCCGCGGGATTTAATGAGACTGTGCTTAGAATGTTAGGTTAGAAGGCAAAGTCATTCAATGAATTTGTGAAGCTGCATTGATTGAGTAATGTTCACTGACATAACAGGATTAGTTTGAAAGAGAGTTAGAGGTAATGAAACCAAAACATAGAAGGCATCAATCTTTGACTGTTGATTTGAGTCACATGAGGAGGTGTATGCTGTCTAGCTGGAGCCCTCGAGATGCCTAAGAATCAGTATTCAAAGAATGTTGATGATATGATTCAAAATTGTTCCTAATAATACAGATGTATTCACTCCTTGTAAACTTCCAGGTTCCTAATATCATCATTATTATTTTATTTAGTTATTTTTTTTTTGAATTTTATCATAATATTATTGTACCCTTGGGATTCGAGTGGAACATAGGGCTTAAACAGCAAGTTTCCACTTTTTTCTATTTTCTGCAGTCCTCTGTAGCTGGGCCGAAACTTGCCCGTAGAGTCTCTCATCTCTTCCTCGCAAGATCTTCTCCATGTCACCTTCAGACGACCCACTTGTCGTTTACCATTCGGGTTCCACTCGAGGCATTGCCTGTCGCGCTATATCATTCGACGGTCTGCGCACAATGTGCCCAATTCATCTTCATTTTCTTCTACATATTTATTGAGTGATAGGTTCTTGGTTAGTTTTTTCCCGTAGTTTCTTGTTGCTAATATTTACTGGCCATTTGATATTCAACATGGAGTCAGTGAAGGCAGCTGTAGAAAAAAGTTTGCAACCTGTTGGAAATGCTTCTCGTGGCGTGCTTTGAAAGTTTCTGATTCACATAGAAAAAGTGACTGACTTCACATTTGTGTTGAACAGAATCCGAATCTTGTTCTTTATGCTGACTGAGTGACAGCAGAACATTCTCAAACTGGTTACAGGTTGTTGAAGGCGTATCCGATTCTGGCTGGCTGTCTGGCTTTGACATCTTCATCCGTTCCGACTGCCTGTGGTTGAAACGATGCTTCCAAGATAAGTGAAGGAAGTAACCCTGCTTCAAATTTCTCCCGTTGATGGTGATTGGTGCTGTTTGTTGTTGCTATTGCTGTTGGCTGGTTATCTTCATCACCTCCGTCTTTTCTACTTTCACCCGGAGGCCTGTCTTCGCTTCCTGCTTCTTCAACCAGTTTGTTAGTTTTCGCCTGCAAGTCTTCGAGTCATTCATGTTCGAAATACAGCTCTTCTAGAGTCTTCTTATTGGTGGTTCAGAGTATTCCATCGCACAGTCCGACGCATCATCCATTCCACCACAATTAAGAATATTATTAGTGATAATAGGGCAGCTTTGTCTTATTCCTGTATTCACTTCGAACGCCTTGAGGAGTTCTCCGTTGTAGATCACCTGGCACTGTCATATAGTCAGCTGTTGAATGAGGTTGATAAAGATTTGGGCATTGTACGCGGTAATGTTGAAGTAGTTTCCAAATTACTTCTCAGTCAATGCTGTCTGTTGAAGACCTTTTTAAAATCGATGAAACTGAGGTAGAGGTCTGCCGGTAATGTCTTCAGTACACCATTCCATTTTTCCTTCTTCCTTAATGTATGCAACTTGAATGCAACAATGCACTTGTGTATTGATTAATTATTTTTATATCACAGCTAATCAATATTTCATTATTTATATTGTTGATATTTTTTTGAAAATGGAAACCAAGTGAAAGCGGCAGTCAATCAGGCGCTGAACAGAATTTGATTACTCAAGCTGCTGTAGAGTCATGGATTGAGCCAACAAAAATTGTCCAACAGATGGTTGTGTCAGAAACAAAAGTTATTCAGGCAGGAGGAGGACCTGGCAAAGATACAGAGGTAAACAACATTTATATAAACATTTTTGTTTTCTTTTGTTCTTCTATCTTTCATTCATGTAAGTTCCAATCGAAACATATGGCAGCAACCTCGCGAGCTCTGCAGTTTCAATAGTAGCAATTTTTTCTAAGGGTTAGGGTTGCTAGCGCCTCATGTCAAACATTTGCTCTTTATGTGACTCACTACTGCCTGGTTTCCCTGGGTTAGGGATTATATCGATCGAAAGTCGAACCCTGATACACATGAGTGGTTAGAGAGTACTCTACCTTTAGATCACTGGCACCAATTAATGTATTATGTAGGTAATTATATTACTAGATGCATGCTGCGTACCTAATAACTGACAGCACGAAGAGTAGTTCAGATTTAACTTTACATTCCAAATGCGCATTTTCTCATATTGTGATGTGTAAGAGTATATGTTGTGCCTAAGTGATTCATCTGTGTGACACACGGCAAGCATTCAAGTAATGTTTACCTTTGTATAAAAGTATATACTACTGGTTGTTTGAGATGAGTAGTAGTTGTATATACCACTCATATCGACGTCAGTGTAGTGCTTGCTGGCCAGCGAGATTGAGGGGATCTAAACACACCATGGGACAGCCGTTCCACCAGCTTGGGCTTGGCTGAGCTCTTTGTCTCATCAGCTCAGGAGAATTAGTTTAAACCACCATAAATCAGATTCATAATTTGCTAATTAATTCGCTGTCTACAATTTCTACACTTCCAGGAGGTGATATTTTCACCATAGTTTCCCTTTGAAACCAAATTATTCAGATCAACACAGTATATGTGATCTGCTTGATGACTTAAATGGTAATCAAGAAAGGTGGCTGACCAGATTATTATTATTTCCTTTAATTCCTAGAGGAACATAGGGCTTCAGCCGCGCGTCTCCATTGCGTTCGGTTCTCTGCTAGAGTCTTCACCTGGCTTTAAGTCTGCCAACACGCTTTCATCTCCTATTCACATGACCTCCTCCAGGTCACCCTTGGACGACCAACTCGCCGCTTCCTGTTCGGGTTCCACTTGAGGGCCTGTCTTGTGATGCCACTGGATGGTTTCCTCAGAGTATGGCCAATCCATCTCCATTTCTTCCTGCATATTTGTTGCACAATTGCTTCTTGCTGGGTTGGTTCGCTCACAGAGATCTCTGTTGCTGATCTTTTCTGGCCGGTCACCTGATCTTGAGCAGTATTGAGCGAAGACAACTATTAATGAAGGTCCGTAGTTTGTTTGAGATGCTCTTTATGACGCGCCAAGTCTCTGATCCGTATATTGAGTAGCACTGACTTCACATTGGAGTTGAAAATCCGGATCTTATTTTTGATGCTGAGTGCTGTTGACCTCCACACAGACTTGAGAGTAGTGAAAGCTTGTCTTGCTTTTCCGATTCTTGCTTTGATATCCTCGTCAGTTCCGTTGGCCTGTAGTTGAAACGATGCTTCCCAGGTAGGTAGGTAAAAGAGGTTGTTTCTTTCAGGTTCCTTCCATTTATGCTGATTGCTATCTGTTGTTGTTGCTGTTACTGTTGGCCAGGAATCTTCATCACCTCTGTCTTCTCTATGTTCACCTGAAGTTCCATCTTCTCTTGATGCTTCTGCCAACTTGTTGCATTTCACTTGTATATCTTCCAGTTTGTGGGAAATCGGGCAGATATCATCGACAAAGTACAGATCCTCCAAGTTTTTTGTGTGGGTCCATTTTATGCCTGTTTCCTCGTTGCCCACCGCTGTTTGTCGCATTATCCAATCTACTTCAATCAGGAAAATCATTGGCGATAGTAGGCAGCCAGCTTGCCTTACTCCCATCTTCACTTCGAAGGATTCCGTAAGTTTCCTGTTGTCTGGCTGACCAGAAATCGGGTGGTTTAAACAGATTCAGTCATCTCTTCGAGCTGAGCCTAACCGGATACACTGCTGAGGACGAGCTCTGCCAACTCCAAATGGGCGAAATGCCCCTCCTCCCATCCACAGTGTTTTTTCTTCGCTTTGGTCTGCCTAGTAAGAACTACTGGTTGATACGAGTGGTATACAACTACTACTCATCTCAATCAATCAGTAGTATATAGTTTTGTGCAGACATCATGCTTACCCTCTTGACTACCATTCATAGTATGATGATCAAAATAATTCGGTTCCTAAATGAAACTGTGCTGATAACGTCACCTGTTGAACTGTGTACCATTACAAATTAGGAATTTATTGCTTTACTGAGAAATGTTATTGCTTCATCACCCTTGTTGACTTCTGTGTTATGAAAAGGTTTTTTTCCTCTCTCTCTCTCTCCCCCCTTCCCCCTCTGTCTCATTCTAGTCACATATGGTAATTCGTAAACGTGTTGAAAGTTCAATTCTACCTTCAGCTGATTATACACAAGCAGTGAATGCATTTGATAAAACCTTAGATCAACATATCAATATGCCTGAACCGAATGAGATAATCAAGTCTAAAGTTCAAACTTATATGAATTCAGCAAATGGTGAAGTAATTCGTCTATCATCAGCAGCATCATCCCCGTCTGATGATCAGAGATTAAAATCGAATGGACCAGTCAAAAATTATCAATCCTCCTCATCATCATCATCATCATCGACAAAAATTCATACTTATAAAATGCAAAATGGTCATCAACAACAACAGTCTAGTCATGGCCAACAAGAATCAAGTTTAATGAAAAAATGTGCTGTCGCCTTGACAGCAACATCAGTCCTCATTTTCATTGGTGTAATTGTTATCCTTGAAACAACACCGGCGACATCGAATCAGGCGAATGAGAATTTCATCTACAGTGCTGTACGATATAATTCACTTATGACTAGCTTTCAAGAATATGTTTACACTCCACTACGCAGAAGTATCACAGATGGATTCAGCGCTGTTGTCGCCTACATTAATCCATAAATTTATTTAAATAATGAAATAGAATAACATTACTATTCTTATTATTCTTATTATTATTAACACTTCTTTCCATTTATTCATTATTAGTTTTCTCTATTTCTGTTTGTGTGTGTGTTTGTGTGTTTGTATGTATTCGTGTGCATGTGTGCGTGTTTCGCCTTCTTCTTCTCCGTCTTCTTCTATTGATGAAACAGTCGTCCATAATGTCATCATTGTTTATTTGTGTTGATATCATACCTCTTCGTATTCTCACATTCCATACACTAAATGTGTGTTTTGTCCACGGTGTTTTGTCCCTTAATCTGTTCTGTGATTTGCACGTGGAGAGTTAATTAATGCGCCTACACCTACGCCTGAGCCCTGAGCCTGCATCTGATAACTTCCTCGTCTACTCATACTCTCTTCTTCTTGTTCTTCATATTTTCACCCTTTGATAAATAAATGCGCCATTTTCAAACTAAAAATCAAATTTATCCTTCTATCTCTTCAATCTTCATCGTTGTGCTTTTTTCGTTTTGTTTTTTGGCCTGATTGACATTTCTAGACAATAATTATAAAAATAATGTTAATAATAATAACAATAATAATAATGATATACATGTGTCGTAGTAATATAGAGTACACTTGAAAAAAAGGAGTATTCATTTTGATCAATATTCTCATTCTTTCATCTTTTTCAATCCCCCCCTCTTGGGATCACCAATTTTGTCTCTCTCTATCCCCTCTCTTTTGGGATAATTATGAGCAGATGAATTAATCTATATTTGATGATAATATAAATGAGAAAGGGAGAAATCAGAAGACGAAAATACAATTTCATGAAAAACTATGCTTGATTATATTCAGTATTGTCTGACACACACATATATCGTATGAATAACAAAGTAACAAAGTAACTAACTAACACCCTACTACATTGTTGTTGGTATAAAGTAAGTCTACGCCGGAAGGAATGGTGGAATTTTTCAAACTGCTTACACACATATATATATACATGTATAACTGCTTCTACTTGACTATTCACTTCATCGTACATCAACAACAAGAACAGGAACATTGACAACTACTCCTACTACTATTCACCTCTAAATTTGATAAGTAAATTTCGAAAGATATTATAATTAAATCTTTTTCATCCCACATATATGTTTTGTCATTATTTCATCTAACTACTTAATAAGCGGATATTAGTAGTATATTAGTGGGGGTTAATAATAACAACTTATGTGAAAGGAAATTAATTGTTGTGATATCGTAGTTGACTAAAATAAAAAAAGCTTTTTTTTGTATGAAATAGAAGTACACAGCTACAAATGTACCTCTTCAACATTTTTGTCTTTTTTGTTTTTGTTCTTCATTCATGTAACTGATAATTTCGCGCCTTTATTTTCTTTCTTATTATTGATATATTTATATATATTTATGTTGATTAGATTAGATTGGTTGGTTGATTATTGTGTTTGTTTTCTAGTCTTCTTTAAGGAAAGATGCACTTGTTCAGCTTAGTCTGTGTTGTGTGTTATTCCACGGATAGTGTGAAGACTACAAGCGTGTGCATATTTATATATACATATATATATAATGAGAGTAAAGTTCATTTCTTCGACCACTTTTTTGTTTGTTGTCTTTTGTTTTTCTACATATACATATGAGGAACAGTCAAAGAAAATGTGATATATATGTGGTAGGCATGGATACAGAAAAGATATCATATATAATATAATATATAATCTGATATGATTATGCTTGTATTATACAATGTTGTGTTTTTCTGGTTTTAACCGTCTTTCTGTGTATCAAATTCTCTATATACACACTTCGAAACTTTTTTAATTTGTACTTTTCTGTCTCTATCGTTATTTTCCTCAAATTTTGTACTTGTTTTTTTTTTCATTTTGCCATTGTCATCTCATTTGTTGGCATAGCGTATGAATGAATATTGATCGAGTGATTGCTTTCGCGTCATATAAAACATCATACTACTCACCATGCTGTTGTTGTTGTTCGTATTTTGGTTTTCGTAGCTTTTTTTCTGTTTTTTTTTGGTTTTGTGTGTTCCATCTACACCCCTTGTGTACTTGTCATTGAGTGCTTGTTGCTTACAGTTTTTATTGTATGCATTATTATTCATACATAGACTATATGAGTCTAGAGTGTAATGATATACTGCTGTACATCCACACACACACTCACGGTGTCTGTTGTGTTGAACTGTGCTTCTTCTTCTTCCTCTTCTCCTTCTTCTTCTCATTTATTCTAGAATGTTCACAAAAATTTCATTTCATTTCGGATCATATATATTTCATGGAGTAATACTCTCCATCACTCTCTCGCCGTCTCTTCACAGCCACCTCATGAACGGAACACATTTTGTCTTTCTATCTGTTTTGTGATTTTCTTTGTTTCCATAATCGCTCTTTCTCTCTCTCTCACTTTGTCTAGAAGAAGGTTGTATATCGCGTAAAGATTATTATTATTACCCAATTTGTCTATCTCTCTATTTATTACTTACTTAAAGATGGTAGATTAAATCTTTTTGCACAGAATGTTGTGATATTCTTCCTCTTCGCATCTTATATTCACACTTTGATCAGATTGCCTACTTATTTATAAGGGGATTAGTAGTAGCAGTAGTAGAAGTAGTTGTGGTACTAGTAGTGGAGTAGTCGAGTAATCCGTCATTAGATTTAAAATGAGCCTTTCTATTCTGCTGTTACTGTTGTTGTTGTTCGTCTTCTTTTTCTATATAATACAGGTTATATGTGTGTGTGATTTATTTCCTCTACGTATATGCACACCTGTATACATTACATACATACATCCATCCATCTATATATATGGTAATCAATAAATAAATAAAAATAAATATCATAATGTCCGGTTTATTGTGTGTGTGTTGGAGTGTTTTGTTTTACAGTCTCTTTTCTTCTCTGATGGGGGTGGGTGGTGATGAATAAGTTGGGTGAGGTGCAAACGCTATCGCGAAGGAAACTTACCGAGCTTTCGTTTTTAGTCTACTTGTATAGGTAGTTAGATAGGAGGCGACCGGTTACGACTTGAATTCCCTTAGGTAGTTGATTTTTTGTATTACCGCCCTAAAGGAATGCTGCTGTAATTATCGTATCCTAGGTGTTACGACGTTTGGCTGCTGCAAAGGTGTTCGTTCTTTCAACTTTTCATTGAAGCAGCTAGAATATCCGTTGTGACGTTTTGCTGTACTATGCATCGTGAAAATACCTCACGATAGCCCTTATCTTACCGTTGAATAAGTTTAACAGTTTATTTTATATATTTTGTAGGCAGATTTAACTGTTCAACTCTTTTTCAGATTACATAAAGTTATCATGCTGATTTCATAAGGTTTTCACTCAATAATCCAGTTATTCACGTGTGAAGAAGAATGCTAAAGTAAAATTACCTTTATAGACATCCACCTACTGACAAGGACACCGGATAGTAATATCGGTCGGTTTTCGACATAGAACTTTGCACATATGTGCGGCAGTTCAAGTCGCCACACTCCATGTAGCACACAAAGCAAGAGAAGAAAGTAGAAGAAATGCATAATATAGACAGTAAACAGAGGTGTGAGACAAAGGAAAAGTAATAACGAAGAACAAAACAGTTTCATTGGAAATCATAAGTCAAAAGGAGTGGATGCATCTGTGCCACTGAGAACGATTTTGAGCCATGTCACCAATTGTTTCCAACCATTGGTTTCTACCGTCCCGAGGACCCCAAACAGTCAGGAAGTCTACACCTTCCTATATGGCTTAGACTAACTGTTGTAGATTTCATTGACTGGTGCCATGTTTCCGTTTGACCGCCGCTAGCTCTTTTCCAGCCTGACCCTATGTCAGCTAACATTGCCCGTCGAGGAAGGCGATGACTAGGCATACGTAACACATGTCCTAACCATATCAGTCGATGTAATTTCACAGTCTCATCGACTGATTTCCCCTCCTTACCTAGCACTCGACGACTAATCTCAATATTGCTCACCTTATTATACCACTTCACGCGGGAGATAGAATGCAGACACCTATGATCGAAGACAGCTAATCTTTTCATGAGATAGTAGTATAAAAAGTACCGGTCGATGTATACCTCTTCACAGCTTTGTTCCTCTCCTATATATATATATATATATATATATATATGTATATATGTATATATATATATATATTAATATATATATATATATACAAAAGAAATCTGCTGAAGGCCCTCAGCTATAGAGTCAGAGAGCTATTTGTTCAGAAGATGCACATAATAATTGAATACAGCTATCCTGAAAAGTCTATCAATAAACACATAGCCAAGACCATTGGAAAAGAACGCTTCTGTATCTGTTAACAAGAAACCTCTCTCTCTCAAAGGTGATATACATCCAAGTGAAATAATAACCAACAAGTTGAGAAAATCGATTCAGGGAACGTTTATTGCCAGTTAAGCTGAAGCTTATATTTTCCCCACAGTCGATTGTAATTCCGAAACTGAAAGATGGAGGACGTAGGTTGGCTGCCTCTAATTGTATCTATCAGCTCAACTGCTCCTGTCAAGCCAGTTATATATCTCCAGTTGCTCTAGGGACTTAATTTTTCGTGCTAGGGAGCAACCACCAGTGTAGCTAAGTAAAGGTGTTGTTAAAACAGATCTATATTAGAGATCACCTCATCCGAACAGGACACAAAGCTAGTTAGCATTGAAGAAACTTTCTCTGTCATCTACCGGATATGGAATAAATTGCCGAAAACCTTTAGATACCGAACACTGCAAACATCAGAGGCCATTGCGATTCACTGAAATCAACCGGTGCCCTGCATTCAAAAGAAACAGCTCTGACCACTAGTGCTATCCTGGCCTGCTGTAGAGCCTGTAAATTCATAAACTGTGTTACTTCGCTTAATTTATCGGATATTCAGTCAGTTTAGTGTTATATTAATGCGTATTATCTCTCCCCTACTGATGCCTTCGAAATGTAATCTGTCGATATTATTGATTCAATTTAATTTAAAACAACATTAGTGTTGTTAATAACAATATTTCTTTAATTATTATGGCCATATGAATGTAGAACCTGATGATGAATTTATCGAAAAGAATATTCTTTGTTCACTAATCAGTCTTTTAAATCCAGTAGTTCTTAAGTGCCTGAATTATCACAGTTTCTTCCTGATAGGCTCCAAATGGAGCCTGGTGAAAAAGCTCTTCAGGAGAGCTAGGGCGTTGTGTTCAGAAGATAAGATTGAAGAGGAACTCGCAGTCATCGAAAAGAACCTAATCGAAAATGGATACCCTCTGAAGTTCATATCAAAATATGGGAAGGAAAATCCACCTAGACGGAAACCTGAAATAGTTGAAAAAAAACCCAGTTTTTATCCGTCTAGTGTACAAACGTGAGGAAGTATCTATAAGAACGGAAAACAGAATTAAAAGTACATTGAAAAGAACATTTTCCGCCGCTAGACTCATTCCACTTTACAACACAGTTTGCTCGTTAACCCAGTCAAAAGTGGGTATGTAACCTGCTCATGTCAATTCCAACTGCATTTACCAATTCACCTACACTTGCGCCAGCAAGTACATAGGAAGGACCGAGAGAAGAGAGTCTACTGGATTCTCCGGGCATACCCCTAAAAGTCTCTGTTTTGAAAGGCAGCAAAGTATTCTGAAGCACAATCGCCAGACGACTAATTGACACAGGACATACAAGGAAATTAGTCAGGCTTTCAAATATAAAAAGCACGGTTATTTCGGTTCTCAGAAGCCACTGCCATCAAAAGACTTCGACCCAACCTCCTTATACGGAGAGTGTGACTAATCACTCACTGCCTTGGTAACCATAACTGTTTTGTTCTGTTGTGTAACATTCCACTCAGTCTTGATTTTGATTTTCACTCAGTGAGTATAGCTCACTATTAA